CTAAAAGCCACTTATAACCAGCGGGCATCCTTACCGGAGGTGCAACGGACAAGCTAGCGGCCGCAAAGGTGACGTGGAGGCGGACCAGCATTGGCGGATCAACCATATAGGCAGTATGGATACCCAGCTGTTCTAAAAGCTAATTATTAACAGCCGATACACCTACCGGACGTGCAACGGACTTGATAGCGGCGGCAAAGGTGACGTGGAGGCGGACCAATATTGCCGGGTGAACCATATAGGCAGAGCAGATACACGGGGGCTCTAAAGGCCACTTGTTAACAGCGGTTATACTTACCGGAGGTGCAACGGACAAACTAGCAGCGACAAAGGTGAAGTGAAGACTGACCAGTAGTGGCGGATCACCCATATAGGCAGTGCATCTGGACGCGTGTTCTAAAAGTTACTCACAAACAGCGGATACACTTACCGGAGGTGCAACAGACAAGCTAGCAGCGGCAAAGGTGAAGTGAAGACTGACCAGTAGTGGCGGATCACCCATATGGGCAGTGCATCTGGACGGGTGTTCTAAAAGCCACTCACTAATAGCGAATACACTTCCCTGAAAGGCAACGGACTTGATAGCCGCAGCAAAGGTGACGTGGAGGCGGACCAATATTGTCGGATGAACCATACAGACAGCGCAGATAAATGGGGTCTCTAAAAGACACTTGTTAACAGCGGATATACTTACCGGAGGTGCAACGGACAAGCTAGCAGCGGCAAAGATGACGTGGAGGCGGACCAGCAGTGGCGGATCACCCATATAGGCAGCATGGATACAGAGCGGTTCTAAAAGCCACTTATTAACAGCGGACACACTTACCGGAGATGCAACGGACATACTAACCGCAGCAAAGGTGACGTGAAGGCTAACAAGTAGTGGCGGATTAACCATATAGGCAGCGCAGATGGACGGGTGTTCTAAAAGCCACATATTAATAGCGGATACACTTTCCGGGTGTGCAAGGGACTTGATAGTGGCGGGAAAGGTTACGCGGAGGCTCACCAGTAGTGTCGGATTAACCATATATGCAGCGCAGATGCACAGGGTCTCTAAAAGCCACTTGTTAACAGCGGATACACTTACCGGACGTGTAACGGACATTATAGTCACGGCAAAAGTGATGTGGAGGCTGAACAGCAGTGGTGGACAACCCGTATAGGCAGCATGGATACCCAGCCTCCAAATTGCTGGCCACTGCCATCCTTCACAGACTGACTGGCACTCGTGAAAGCCAGATTCGTGAAGAGCAAGCTGGATTTCGTCGAGGTCGTGGCTGCATTCACGTCTTCACGTTGCGTCAGTTGTTGAAGCACCGTCACACATATTGGCGGCCCACCATTGTCGTGTTCCTCTATATCAAAGGTGCATTCGATTCGGTAGATAAATATGCA